GAGAGAGAGAGAGAGAGAACGGGTAAGCCTGCGGCAACAGCCTGTCGGGAAGAGCATAGCAGCTCACAGAGTCAAACACATGCAGACTTAGAATCGAAAGAACACAACTTTGAACAACTCCAAAGCTCATATCCATCAATTCACCTCAACACATGCCTGGATTCCTATACGCCACCATAGTCGAATACTTCCCAGAATCTCGACAACGCAGCCCCTCTACCGGTTTCATCCTTCCGTAGGGAATCATCAGGAAGGTGCGTCCCGTAAGACGCTTCTGTCGAAGAGAGGCCGAGTGCCTTGCCTCTCGTACTTTTATCCTCTACAATTGTCGAAGTTCCTACCGATTGACTGGTCCTGGTGTCCGACCCCCCTAAGTATACTAAAATAAAATAAAATAGAATAGCATAGATAAAGGCACATGCCTTTCGTATAAAACAAAACAAAGATAAAGGTGTAAGCCTTCCGCACCTGCCTATACCTATCCTAAGATTGTCTGGACGCGGCAGCGACACTACTCAAACTAAATCAATGCCGTACGAACGCAAAATCTGAAAACAAAATTTGAAAACAAAACAAAATTTGAAAACAAAAACAAAATTTGAAAACAAAACAAAACCGCCTTCCGTACCGGGCGCTCATCTTAGCCCTGGTACGTGTGTACGTTTTCATCCTGTCTTGTTGCTTGGGTCCCAGTGTACTCCCCGGCTCGTGTTCCTAGTAACTGTCGTCCTTTGCAAGTCGTGTGTTTGAGCCCGACTTTTCCGGTAAACAAAACCCGAAGCATTTCCCACAGGGTCCCAAGCATTGGTTCCCCCGTAACCTTGGCCAACTTGGCCAAGGCCCCGAGAGAGACCTCCGGGGTATATCCCCGGAGGTTGCTTTCAAGCAGCGCGTACACAATAGTGCCAATACGCAGTGCACCAGACGTTGAAGAGTGCCACAACCTCTTCAAAGTAGCCGTTAGGACTCCCTTCTTGGATTTCTTGTCAGAGTAACTGTTGAAGTCCTGCATGGATTGGTAGTGCAGTGCCCCGTTGTGCTGTAGCGAAGCGGTGTTCTTCGTCTCCTGGATGAAATGCAGTTGCAGTGGCTCACAAATGACATACATTTGTCCCCCAATAAAATCCCAGGTATTCGTGCCTTCGTCTTTCCTCACGAGCTTCAGGTTCTGGTCATAGGAGTCCTCAAACTCGTTTAAAATTTCTTCCGCTTTTTTCCACGAAACAATCGCATCGTTGCATCCGACGACTATCGAAACGTCATCAACCATCCTCCATCCTCTCACCAGCTTGCTATCGGTCCCACATGATCATAAGAATCTCACCTCTGCCGTTGCGCATGTAATCGTAGCCAACGTCGGGCTCATAGTCTTTCCTATATGGACTCCGACTCCCTGTCTCCTAAGAACCTCTCCACACTGCATGTATGCGTGTTCGAGGTCAAACTCAACCATCCTGAGGATATCTAGAATCTTCACCTTGACATACCCCACCTCCTTCCTGTCTGTTTTGGACATGACACAAAGTTTCCCTCTCGTGGCTACCTTCACCTGCTGCCATCCCTGGTCCTCAAAATATCTAAGGAGCTCAAAGACTACCTGTCTGACTGTACTGTGGTATCGAGGAGAACATCTCCTTGATATCATAACATCTACCGATAGCCCTGTTGCACCCTGCCTTCCTCAGATCATCCCCTTCATCCAGCAATTCTTGTTTCAAAGTATACGTCGAGTTCAAATGAAAATTAGAACGTCGTTCGTATCTGGAAACAAGACAGTACAATGCCCTAGCACATCGGCGCTGTCCCATTATCGTCGGGTTACTGCATGCTGGTGCAATAGGTCTCCATCTACCTAGATCTTTGCCTTTAGGTATGATATAAGCCTTCCCGAGTCATCCGTCCGTCCTCCACTTTCCAATCCTTTCCAAACCCGCTATCTCATATTCCCTCCTAGCTCCATCCAGAACCTCTTCCTCCGTACTATCCACCTTCCTATAATCGGGATTCCACGTGAACATGCTCCCAAAGGTGTGTCTATACAGTATCAGACAGACTACCGCAGTATCTCCAATATTTCTGTCGATTGGAGCGAGAACGAGTCCGTCAAACTGTGGTGCCCAGCTTCTGACCTCGTAATTTGTCCACGTCATTTTTTTGGGTGTGTCAGTTGTGAAGCATCGAGCAACGTCTATCGGTGTATCAGTTCCATGTTTCAAATATTCAGTTGTTGTCATTATCCCGTTGGCCAACTCCTCCTCCATCTTTTGCCTACCACAAACTGTTATGTTTCTCGAGTTCTTGACGAACATCGGAGCTTGAGGCACGTCCGCGAATCTGGTCAGTACATGCCCGTTGTGCTTAGTCAAATCATGGTTCCCACATGTGCAGGACATAGGAAGTGTATGCGCATATCTCCTATGCGTGTGAATGATCTCCGCCACGGTCCGCTCTTCGTATTGACAATCCTGACCTTGCGTTTCACGAAAGTGGCAACAACAGTATGAACAATTCTTGCATCAATGATTTCTTCCACACATCTCCTGACTTCGGACTTAAGTATCGTGTTACAATATGGATACTTGACCGTCAGTCTCCGTCTCACAATCACTCCTGTCTTCTTTCTCAGTGCACGGTCCAACTTTATCTTCAGTTTGTTTCTAGTCTCTTTCTTTGCAAACGTACCCGCTGCCCTATACAACCCCACGAGTTTTCTGGTCGTGTATCCAACGAGAGATGTCGCCATGGTTGGTTTAGCAATCGTTTCAGCGTGATCTTGTGTCTCTCTGTGGTAGTCGTACTCTTCACGTCCTTCAGCAACATGATCCGTCCTTGGAGTCGCAACCTGGTCTCACCGTACTTCGAAGCGATCGACTTCCAATTGTCAACCCAACTCCTTCCGGCTACAAAAACCACCTTGCACGGTGCTGTCTTCTTCTCTTGTTCCTCGTCTCGCTAGTTCAGTAACGAAGTCCGTGGTCCGTACTAGTGACAAATTTGAGTACTCTCCCCCCTCCCCTCATATTCCCCCGGTTCTTCCTCTCTCGTCTGCCCTTTCGTCGTCGTGATCTTCGTGCCTCCCGACCACTCATACTCATTGCTTCGCTCCTGTAGACTCGTTTGGATCATGGGCTCATGATGATGTATGTTCCTCCAATCTTCAACTCCAAAGTATCTTCACTAACCTCGAACTTGTCGCAGTATTTATCCATCCACTTGATCTCTCCAACCAATCCTAGCAATAACGTCGTCGTGGTGATGCGCCGCTCGATCATTGTAACTTGTTCACCCCTAGCGCCTTGCCCCCGGAGGTTATCTCGTTCTGTCAGGCACGTACCCAATGTAGTCCAGAGTACGTCCTTATTAGGGGGCAGTGCTAGTCAACTCGAATGTTGATCTGCCTCTTGTGTCGGTGCCGAACGGAGTGTGACTCTTGGTGTGTCTCCCTGCCTAGTCTTTCCTCTTGTTGTGATTGTCGTCTTTACGACTTCAATCGGCGTCTTGCCATCTTCGTCCCCATCCTGGCCGATCTTCAACAACATCGTTTTTTTTCCCACCGGTGTAGTGAAGAATCCATCGTACGCCACCTTTGTCTGTCTCTTTACCAATTCCATCACCATCTCGTCTTTCCTGGTCGCCTTAATCCCATATTTGTCACAAATCTCTTTGAGATTTGGCACGTTCTTCGTGGAGTATTGCTTCATGACTGCAAATGTATAATCCACAAATCCTTCTTGTGAGCAGCCTGCGCTGATACCCTTGTATCCGGCCGAAAGTGGAGTCCTTGATTCGAGCCCTCCTGTCCTCGTCGGAGAAATTGGTGTCGTCGACTTCTTTGACATCTCTCCCTTTCCGTAGGTCCTCGTAGGCGTTCTCCTACTGCCTTTCTTCTTTGTCTGCCTTCTCCTTGACTTCACCTTCTGTTTTCTCTCCCGTAGTACCTTGACCAAACGTAGTGCCTCTTCTTTTGTGTCTGACGAGACCTCAGATGTCGATTCACTGCTTTCTTCCCCTGATTCTGACGAAGACACCAAAATCCTCTTCTTCCCTTTCTTTTTCTTCGTCGGCTTCTTCATCTTCTTCTTCCTTTCCTTTGTCTTCATTGCTGTCTTGCTGGCCAGTGAAATCTTCGGGCTGGTACACTTCATCTCCGTTTTGGTCTCTCTTGCCTTTTCTGCAGCCTCCTCTTGTTGCCTTCTCCATTTTTCCGCAATCTCCGCCTGTAATTGCATCCTAATCTCCTCTGTCCTCCGAGCCATATCCAGTTCTTTTTTCCTCTCCTTTTCTTCTTTCGCCCGTTGTCGCTCTTCCTCCTCTTCTCGTTTCCGCTTCTCTTCTTTGTCCTTCATTAGATCCCGTACGAAGATATGGATCTCGTCATCCTGCGGTACCAGCTTCCCCCTTTTTGACCAGCAGTCTCGGGCTATGTGCCCGGTCTTCCCACATTCATAGCAGATCGGGCCGCCGTGCCTTCCTCCCCAATTTCCATTGTTACCATTCCCTCCCATCCCGCCTGTGTCCATGTTACCTCCGTTGTTACCCCCGTCGGTATACATCGTGGTATGTTATCACACTCGCCAAAGGTCCGCTATTTCCTCTACTTCAGCAAGTTCGATCCTTCTTCTAGTTCTCAGAAAACGTAGTGTTCAAGATACTCGTCCCAGAATGATCTGCACTTGTCTATACACTCCCCTTCGAAGCCTAGGTTCCGTAATAAACTTCGCTATCGCAATGACTGGACGAATTGTCCTTTCTACGTAATTGTCAATTAGTTGTATCAACCTCGCTCGGTCGGTGAGCACCGTACCCCTCACACTTCTCCGTACCTGTCCACATCTCTCACATAACTGCGGCATATTGAATCTATATCCCTGTTCCGATAGTTAGCAATCCAAAACCTATGAACAGAAATCCCACTCCATATAACATTGCCTTAAGTGTCCTCTTCGCCATACTCTTTCCGACTTATCTCATGCTACGCCGTTCATCCTCATCTACCCGTA